TCCCCATACTGATGCTCGGTTTGAACTGCAGGAGATTGTCTTGACCATGTCTACATGCCTAAATGCACTGAGTTGCCACCATGTGATTGGCTGATTAGAAATTAAGTGTTAACGAGCAGTTGGACAGGTGTACCTAATAAAGTGGCCGGTGAATGTAATTCTCACAATGATAACAATCTTCTATTGAAAACATTGGAGAATCATATTCAAGGTGCCTCCAATAACTTTCCTATTTCCGGTATTGTAATAGGTGGAGATTATAATATGATACTTGATCACAACATGGACTGTTGGCCTCCACGCAACYCTAATGCAGTTAATGTAAATTTAAAACTTTTTATGCAAAAATTTAACTTAAYAGATGTATGGAGACAACAAAATCTTTACACTACTGCAGATACTTGGTGTAACAGAAGCAACACTAAAAAATCTCGACTAGACTTTTTGGTTGGTTTCTAATAATTTGAACATCGATAAAATATCTGCAAAAATTCTTACAACATCTTCACGCTTTTAAGGTAATTTTTATATTAAGGCGAGAATGACGTGCAACCTCCACCAGCATCTGGAGGCCTGTCGTTAGCATTAGCACCTTGCGCTTGCCACGGAGCAATGCATGGATATAGGAGATATAGCAACATGTGAAACCTATTAGTTGCCCAATATTCACTTAGTACAGATTAATACGTTTAAAATGAGAAAACGCGCTACCTGGAATACCAAGGATTTCAGTCCATGCAGCGACACGTTCTTACAAACGAAGAAATTGAAGTTTCATTCAGTGTTTGGCTCACTGTTTTCCAAAGATGGCGCGGCAGGAACGTCGTCTGTGGAGAGTTGTGCGCATGCGCCAGATAAGTCTTTGGGATTGTTGTGCCCTCGGATTTACCTGCCAGGCAAAACGTGTGTTTTTGCAAAAGGCTTCAAAATCATGGAACCAGGCAGGTGACAAACATGCAAAAGAACAGGAGACAGTCCGATAGACATTTGTAAATTGTGTTTTTATTGCGTGCACATTGACTTTTTTGCTAAAAAAAAAAAAAATACACAAAAATATATTTTGAACAATATATGTTTTCACACAAATCAAATGGCAAAACGTCGCTTTTTTTCTATATTTTTACAATAACTTAACACAGGACTATACATTTCTGCCAACACCGGATGGTGAAGCAAGTGCCTGGAAGGCAAAAAATTAGGATAAAAATATACATTACGTCACCTGATGCGGAAGTACAACTTCACAGCAAACACATGCACGGTAATTTTGACTTTGAGATATATTGTTGGATGTGTCGTGTTAGTGTTGTATAAATGATGCAGATATTTCTGTAATATGTAAGAATCTGGAAAGAATTCCGGTTAAATGATGATGAAGACTATTTAAGATGATACTGTATCCATGTGCTACAACTGTAAACAGTTAGAAACGTAAGGTTATGAATATAACCACGGTTTTATGATTATGAGCTTTAATATGTAAAATTATCCCAGCTACAATGACAGACAACAAATATTACATTTATAATATTACAACTAAAACTGTTTTTGACGCCGCCACTGCAGTTTGTCCTTCATGATCCTTCGTAGACAAGATGGCGGTGCAAGATGGCGGCTGCCTGCAGCTCGCGACCATGGAGATATAAACAGCTTTTTATAAGGTAAAAATAATAAAACAAGGTCTTTGTCTGCAATGATTAGACACGTTTTTATTATTTTCATTAGTGATTATCTCAATTTCGGCTAAAAGAATTGACAAAATCCTACACACTGTGAGAGATGAGATCAGCATGTTTGACTGACCTGTGTGTTTGCATTTATTTTGACATATATATTTGTTTCCAGTGATACAAGTCTTCAAAGGAGCATGTTTTTGTTTTGTCTGTAGGACCTTGTTGTGGTGGGCTCAGCCTGCCTGTGTTCTGACACTGAGCCTGGACAGCGATCACTAGTGAATTGAAGACCTCAGATGTGTGAGGATGTTTCGACTGCAGTGTGTGAACCCCTGCCTCAGAAGGCTGCTCCATCTGGGTGCAGTAAACAGAGACCAGGTCCTGGAGAGACTGCAGATTTGCTCCGTCGAAGACCAGGTGTTTGACGTGGTGAGCAAGAACAAAACCAAGCTGACTGTGGACCATGTGACCTGTGCTGTCAGGATGCTGTTCAAGTTTCAGAGAAAGAGACCTGAAATGCTCAGGACCTTCAACCTCACCAAGAGTCACCCACAGTTCTTCGCACTCCAGGTTCTGGCAGAGAACAAAATCACTCTAATGGACGATTTAACTTTGGTGGACATGCTTAATATTTTCCGTAGGTAAATTAACATGAGCAGTCTGCTCAGTGGGGATCTCTTTATATCACTCTTTTGTAATTTCATCAGATTTTTATCTCTCTCCCAACTGTAGGCTGAAAGTGGAACAACACGAGTCTGTGGTGCAGCAGATTTTTTCAGAAGCATGGCAGAGAATAGACGGGTCTGTTTTCATTAGTGTAACTCGTTTATTTTTGACTTGGACGTACAGTTTCAGTAAAATTCATGAAAATACATTTATACGCATTGCAACTAGGAAGATGTCAGCACATAAGTTTTAACAGACTTGTATGATTCATTTGCGTTTTAGCCCCGTTTAATTTCCCACAAATGTTTTGCAGACTGCCAATGTCGTCTCTATCCATGTTTGCTGTCTGTTTAACTTACCTGAAGCTTCAGAAAAGTCCTCTAATGGGTCAAATCACCAGCATTTTGGATCAGAAGTTGTCAACKATCGATGAAGCCAAGTGAGTCACAAAGACAAATCTGTGAAGACTTTTTGGAATATGCGACAAGCAGCTTGTATGCTTTTTTTTCCCCAAGGACGCTCACCTCTCTGATGATGAGCGTGTCGTACCTCGTGTCTCCCCGGCTGCGGGATGCTCTGATCGTCAGGGCCAAACAACTCCTGGGCACCATAGGTACCTCGGACTGCACTATCCCGCTGCGGGTGCTGAATTTCATGCACAACCAAAAGTACGTAGACTGGCCGCTGCTGGAGACGTGCAACGAGATCTTCCTGCACAACATCTCCAGTCTGAATGCAGAGGCCATCAGCAACATCCTGGGTTTGTATAGGTCCCTCCAGTTCACCAACTGCGACTTCATGCTGGCAGCTAAAGAGAGGCTGATTGAGCTGATGCACACCAGCACCGACCCGTCCTCCTTCTCCAAGCTGTTTGTTTCTCTGGCTCCCATTGCCAGCATGGAGGTCAGAGAAAGGTCGGTACCATAGTGTATCAATACATTAATAACTGACCCTTTATTTTATATATTATCATTCCTGGTTTCTCGGCTCTAACCGTGGTTTTTTTCCTCTCAGATTGGAGAGCATGACCCTCTTGCTGGCAGATGAGTTCAATGCCCAACAAGCCATGGTTATAACAGAAGCACTGGGGGGAATTCAAAGTAGAAACCTCAGTTTATTGAACAAGTGAGTCAGTGTCTCTGCTCTAAACCTCTAAAAAAATAACTAAAAAACCAGTTTGTAACATTTGAACTGCGGCCTCTTTAAATCCAGGTAGCAACTTTTTGTTTTGGCCAAACTGTCTTTTTTGAAAATGACGATTCCATTGAACCCTAATGTAGTTGTTGATTTACTGGAATGTCTACTAAATATTGTCAAAACTCTTTTCCAGAATTCTATCAGTAATTCAAAAGAACCTTCGTGTCTATAAGTCRTCGGAGGTGGTCAGAATCACTCAGGCCCTGATGCTGTTGAAGTATCAGAACTCAGAGCTCTTTGCAATGTTAAGAAAAGTTTTGCTCAGGTGAGTGTTTATCGTTCACCGCTGAAGGTCAGAGACCATGAAGTGTTTTGTTCCTATGCATGTGTTTGTCTAACATTAGCAAAGTGAACCACTGGAGAAAGCAGTGTGTACATATTCATCTGATTCATTTTTGGAGTCAGCACAGTTCAAGATGGCTGCTACAGCCAGCTGACTTTAAAACACATAAATTACTGTAAGCCTGGTAATTTGTGTGTTGTTGCAGCTAAGAGTCTTTTATAACACAAGTATACTTCATTACATGTGATTTTTACTTAAAACTTTAGCTTTAACTTTTGAAGTCAACCACATTTGTCTTTTAGCAAAATATCTTACGAACCACTTGACAGATTAAGATGAAACTTTAGTAAAATATATATTGAATGTACATCTAAAACTGATTGTGTTTTAAAACTGATCCATTTCAAGATGGCTGCTACAACTAGTTGACATTAGCCAACACAAGACTGGCTATATCTCAGTGGCTGTGTCCAAACCGGCAGGACRGGTCCTCCGAAGGYCKMATTYGTCRGCCGCATACGTCACAGCGCCGCGACGAAGGACGTCCAAAACTGAAGACTCCGCCGATGCGGCCGACAAATACGTCCTTCCTTTGGCCCGAATCGAAGGACAGGTCCGATGGATCCTTCCCGGCCCAGCATATCCCATAATGCATTGCGGCCCGACCGGAGATTTTTTTATGCTAGTAATGGCGGACGAAGCGAGAGAAAAGAATACATTTTAAATAAAAATATGGTGATATAAAAATAAAATAAAAAATTAGCGGTTGTAATTCTAATACGTTTATCATTTGTATGGACATGTTTTTACATATTATTTTTTCGTCATAAAAAACGCGAAATAAACATGCACCTACAGCGGGTCAATTAGTTCTTCAAATGATACTTTTAAGTTAATTTTATAGTTTTGTGATATTAATAATGCTAATGTATTGATATTTTTCTAGCTTTGATTTAAGTTTGCTTGTTTAGCGTCGTCACAGTTGCTAGGTGACAAGACATACGCCAGGGTAAGGAGGGGAGGCTAGACCGTCCAAATTCACAGCCTCTTTTTTTCCGGTCTTCCCGGTCTACCAAGGACCCGGCCCGCCGAGACCRGGGTGTCTGGGTCCTCCGGAGGACCCGGCCTGTCGTTTTRGACACAGCCAGTGAGTTTACCAGAGATTGAGCTAAAATGTAGTGTGGTAGTAGCTCAGAATCATCCTTAAAATATACTTTGAGCACGAGATTGTGCCTATTGTTTTTAAATTTTGACCAAAACCACTACAACTCTGTCAATTCTCAGCACAATATGATCTGATGATATCTTAATTTAAGTTATTTGTGTGGAAAGAAGCAGGCAATGTGCATCAATTCAATGAATTTCAATTCATGAGCAATTGTTGAATTTGTGTGTGACTGAATAAAAAAATAAATACATTTCTTGCAGCTTTTTGCAGAGCAGTTTCTACCCGTACGAGGTGTCCGTGCTGACCAAGTTTCTGTCCGTGCTGCCCTCTCCACGGCTCAAAGAAGGCATGGTCTTGCAGCTAGACAAGGTGATCGCGCAGAACAACCTCCGCTCGCTCACCACAATCGCATTTGCCATTTTCAAATATATCCGGAACGACCCCTCTTACCTCSACAACACCCCCAGCAAATACATCCRCCTGCTGCAGAGGATGAGCCAGTGCGGCTGCAAGAGGCTGCAGACCGCTGACCAGCTGGACTTGGTGCTGGGCGAGCTGAAATACGTCTCTGGGGAGTGGTTTGAGGACATGCTGCTCGTGGACAGCATCGCCACGCTCAGTCGGATGATCGATCAGATCAACTGGAACAACATGCCGGAGCTGGCCGTCTTCCTCACCAGAATTAACTACCTTCACCGTCCTCTGTTGGACAGAATTGCCAGTGTGGCCATGGAACACATTGACAAGGTGCTTTGAAAAGACTCCAACAATTCTATCAGGTAAAACACCATTAACTCAATTAAATTTTTTTCCTTTCATTTATTTAAAGATCCACTTTTCAGCAATATGTGACATCCTGCTGCCTTTTTCTGTCATGAACTACGAGCCGGCGCAGGCGGACGAGCTCTACAATGCTTGTATTAACCGTTTCATGCCTCACATGAGTACGTATGAGGTCTGATTACTTTCTAGTTTTATCTGCAACCTATTCTCATATTTTTCATGTATATTCCTTCAGGCTCCATTGACCCACATTTGCTGGTCCACCTGGCACATGTCTTGGCATTAGATAGTCGTTTTCCTGAAGAGCTAGTTCGAGAAATCTTCTGCATTGATTTTCTGGGGAAACTTAACTCCCAGCTGGAATGTATGTCTCTAGTTAAACTGTCCTTAAAAATACAAAACGAATCCTTTCTGGCATGCATGTAAACTTTTTTTTTAAAGAGCTCAATTTATTGTTCACGTTTACAGGCCTGTCCAATGACAGTAACAAGCTGACGCGACAGCGACTCATGGAACTCAATCGGATCCTGTGCCTCGAGTGTCCCGAGTTTCAGGTACCCTGGTTCCACAAGCAATACTGCCAGCAGCTGACAAAGAAAGGTAGGAGTATGCAGTGACGTGATGATTTATGGTTTAGGTTGAGTACTTTTTGAATCAAACCATACTTGGCTGTTGTGTGTTTTAGAGAACTTCACCGTCGGTCCTGTGAAAAAACAAATCCACAAAATGCTGGGGGAAATTCTCGGTGGAATTAACTTTGTTAAAGTAGCGGTTGTCACACCATATTATTACACTGTAGGTGAGTGCAAGATGATGAAAAGATAATCCTTTTATCTACTTTTTTGCATACTTGTTAGGAAGATGATATGTAGTTTTCAGTATGATTTCCAGAGGTCTAAACATTACTTGGAAAAAAATAAGTAAAAGTAAAATTACATGAACAGAAAATGACTGGTAAAAATAAAYTTCACTGATGAGAACACTACTCAAGTAAAAGTCATAAAACKGTTTACAAAAATTGGGAAAGTAAAAGTACTTTTACACACTCTTAAGAAATAAACTGTTGAATTTACTGAACCAAACTGGTTCCACTAAACCAGGTTGAGTAAATTGAGCAAAAAATGTATATTCTTTGCTCACTTTACTCAACTAGGCTTAGTGGAGTCAGTGGACATGACTTTGAGTAAATTCAACACTTCATTTTTAGAGAGCAGAAATATCATCTTTCATGATGAGTTCGAACATATTTAATTTTGTAATGAGTAACTAGGTGTTGCATTTTAAAGTAAATAAGTAAAAGTATAATTTTTAGCTTTAAAATGTAACAAAATAAAAGTAGCTATTAAAAAAACAATTGGTTTTACAAATCCTCAAAAAATTACTTCAGTACTCTAACAAAGTAAATGTACTTAGTTACTACAAACCTTTGATGATTTCTAGGAATTATGGCAAAAATCAAATCGTTTGCAATGCAACCTGTTCTCATTCAGACTCTTATTTTGGCTTGAAGTCACACATTTGTGTCCTTTTTAGACTTCGAATGCGAACTGGACAAACACTTGCAGCCGCCACATTACTCGGAGCCAAGCAGCCTGCAGATCTCAAGCAAAGGAAATGTTTTCATGCCCAGGACACTGAAAGACAACCGAGACGACCTGCCACCAGGAGCTCAGCGGTAGGGACACCCCTACACTAAATCATTGATTACCGATGCAGCTTGAGTACCCYCTGTGCAAAACCACCTCTACCATCACAGTTCATGCATACCAAACCTCTTATGAAAACAGCAACAGTAGATATTAAAGGGGACATATAATTTGAAATCTAGTCTCTCCCAGTGATGCAGAGATATCTTTTATATTCTTTTTGGCAGAGGTGTAAAAGTAACTATGGAAAAGTAAAAATACCATAATAGAAAATGACTGATAAAAAATGAATTTCACTGATAAGAAAAGTACTTAAGTCATAAAATTGCTCACTATAATCAGGAAAGTAAAAGCAAAAGTACTTTTACACACACTCCAAGAAAAGACGTGTTGCATTTTGTTATGCCACCTGGTTCCACTAAGTTGAGTTGAGTAAATGTAAAGCAGTTTGCACATTTTTTTTAAAAGAAAAGAAAGAAAATGGGATTTAGTGGAACCAGCGGACATAACTTGGTTGAGTAAATTCAACACTTCCCTTTTTTTAGAGTGCTCCTTTCATTTTGTGTTCTGTCATCCAGGGCTGATGGTATTCTGGCCCCGTGCTGCAATGCCGGCTTACAATTCTCTGGACCTAACAGAGGCACAGCTTTCACTTTAAACACACTACAGGCCTACTAGCCAATCAGAAATCAGATGGAGGTGGGACATTGGCAAACTTTGATTCAGAAAAATGTTCAGACTCAGGATATTTTTTCCCCGCTATTAGCCCTGTATTATGATCATGGACAAGTCTTTCCCTCGTAGGGATCTTTTAATTAAATTGTAAATAAAATGGTCCTGCACCACTATATAGTCGTAAAACCCCTCTGTCAAACTAGAATGGACCACACTGGAAGCTGCGGTGAGGGCTGTGAAGCGCCTCATTTGGATTTAAAGAGACAGTATCAAAACGAGTTGATCTGAGACTCACCTCAGAAAAGGGGTGAAAGCTTGTGGAGTTACAATTAGAAGGAATTCAGAACAAAGCATTGCAATATCACTTTATATAGACCCAAACTGAAAGATTTTAATGTGGGATTTCAAAGCTTTTTATGTCTACTTTAAATAGATTTAGTAGCTAGATAAAACAGTCTCTGTAAAATCAATTTTTTTCACATAGAACACAGATGACATTGATTTAATTTGAAAGCAGTTTCAATATTGTGGCGATATACAGTGTATATATGCATCATACAGTACAGCTACTAAGTATTGTTTTTTGCTTTTTTTTAGCGTTGTTGTCGACTTTCTTGGTTCAAGGGACTCCTGCAAAAACTGTCATCATGTGAAAAGTAATGCTTTAATAAAAAAGAGACACCTTGAAATTATGGGGTATCGTGTTGTTCAGGTGAGAACACTACTGCAGGAAAATAAATCTAGCTCTTGTTTTTTTACATCAGTTATGTAACACAGTAAGTCATGGCGTCATCTGAACTTTATTTCTAGATTCCTCACTTTGAGTGGAGTTCCATGGAGCTTTCAGCGTACGGTTCAAAGAAGGATTATCTCCAAAAGAAGATACTTGGATAGCTTTTCAGTATATTTGCAGGATGGTGACAGAAATGTTACATTCACCACTCAAGGTTTCAGTACTCTGATTAGAATTAGGTTTTTAATACATAACATGCTCATTTTTAGATAAAAATGTATAATCTTTACTTGGAATGAATATACCTCATTCATGTTAAGTTGTTTAATGTGTACTTTTGTATTAAAAAACTTATTTAAATAAAACATTAAAGCTGGATTTTCTGTTTTCTGCCAAGCTACCATTTTAATTTTTGTTTTGATGCTGTTTTAAACTGACAGTGATTTCAATGATAGAGCTTTGTTATTTAAAGGAGACATCAGTCCTTTTTCACAGAGTTCATGTGATGAACCTAAATATGTCATTAGGTTTTTAAAAAAACTAATGCAATAAATCTAATGGGTGATGATATGGATGCTTCAATTAAACCTAAAAATCTACTGGAATGGATGTTTGAACAAAAAGCTATAATAATGGAAAAAAGAGCAAATATTATCTGCAATATTTATCTTCATCCACACTCCAGTAAAGGTAGAAAAATAGTCATGCATTAGAACTTTATCTGTATGTGGATCCATTTTTCTTTTTCTCATGGTTGCATTAAAAACCATACAATTAAAGTTGGGTAGGGAGAAACTGCACAAAAAACAAAGAACCCTTTAAATTTTATTTCATGAGAGAATTATTGACTAAAAAATGTCCCTTTCACTAAAACTAAATGTATCCGAAATGAATGTSACAATAATCAGCTAAATAAAACTTACATAAAATTCTCAACAATCTTGGTTACAGTTTGGGCATTTTGGCTGGATTTAGGCGCATGGAGACACACGAGGCTCCGGCTGCGTAACGCATCTCTCTGAGCATGCCGGTCCACTGTTTTGTGTCTTCTTCATACCTGAGACAATAAGACAGTAAAAATGTTACTGAAGTACAAACCTGAAAGCATTTTTAAAACAAAACAAAAATAAATAAATCAATGATGTTCACGTTAAATTGAAACAAAAATAAATACATACTGCCAAATGTCAATGATCTCAGTAGGAGCGCACTCCTTGTTGTCGTTCTCCACCATGGCAAAGCCTCCTATAGCATACAGAAGCCCACCACAGCTGACCAGGTTAATTGWACTCCTCTCCTGGGGAAACTCAGTAAAAGGTGACCACCTATAACAAAACACACCCAGCTCAGATAATGYAGTCCCTCACACTTAGTCTAAAGTTTAGTTTGTCTTTCTCGGGTAAAAAAGAATCCTTCACTGAATTGATCAGATCTGTAAAGTGGGGTTCAGTAATTATATTACCTGATTATAGGTCTTTAAACAGAAAAGGAGATTATTTCTGATAAACCTAAAACTAATCCAATCAGGGCTGAGACCAAAGTGTTTCACTACTGTCCTAAAATAGTAACTGGACTGTACTTATTTAGCATAAAGATTTTAAAGAATGAAGGTTCATGTAAACACCTGTTTTAATTTTACAACATTGTAGGCAGGAATAAACTTTTCTGGTAGAACAATCAAAATGTAAAACTAAAAGCAGTGTAAAAGTTTATAGGATTTGCATGAACCACTATAAAATGTTTGAGCTCAAGTTATTGTAAAACAGCAGCTGTTAGTTTAGTCATCAGTCTGGTCAGAATTCTCTTAGCAAAAATTAGTATGCAAGTGTCCTTTAAGTATACTAATTTTAAACAAAAAAAAGATATTTCAAGTTTATGTTTTATGTACTTATCTGAGATATACTTAACCAAGTTTGTCTTACACTATGCTTGACTTGTACTAAAAGTATACTGTAGGTTTAGGTATACTTTGTATACTAATGTAGGAGGTGAGCTTAAGGTGAATTAAGCTTTTCCCACATCTCATACACAAGGTTATGAGGAAAACTTTTACCAAGGTATGTCTGTGCGAAGTGAAAAATGACAATAAGGGGAACGCTCAGACGAGTTCACTTGTTAATAATGACTATGCAATCATTTATTTACACAAATTAAACAGATCATAAGTTACTCTTGATTGTGGGTATTCCTATAACAAGCGTCAGAGTTAATGGGATAAAACTCGCGTCCGACTTTCAGACCACGTCACTCTGTTTACTTATATAGAATAGTAAAAACGTCAGTTCTGGTGTTACTCAACCAAACAATTTTATTGGCACTTTTAGCTTAAGTTTTGGCAAATCAAAGAAATAAGAAAGAGAAGAAAAGTAATGTTAATGTTCTACTACTTTTACTTTTATCAAAGTGTGAGTCAACCGGAACTGTACGTCTTTTCTCGACTCAGGTCCACAATACACATCACTCCGAACACGTCATCTTTTTCCTGATGATGGCTTCTTGAGACTCCTTCGAAGTAGAAAAAACTGGCTCGCCTCCGATCAGTCAGAGAACTGTTGTCGGCTCGCTTACCGGTCATTGGCGAACAGGTGTTATTTTCAGGTAACTTTGTGTTTGCTTCAGTCCAAGCCAGAAAAATTCAAGCTGTATCCGGTTCCTCTTTCAAAATAAAACATCTCCCCATTGGGAGGTATAAAACACACTTAGAGGCTTAAAACCTCGGATTGGGACCACCGATAGGCGTACTGGGTCCCTGGCTGTGAAATCCTCCCTAATTAGCTCATGGGATCAGATTTTCAGTCAAAGCTGAGGTTTCTCCAGAGAGAATCATAGCTGTCTTCCTAGGTTGGAATCAGGAAGAAGAGTGTGTTGCTCAAAGCCGTCCGGGTTAGTAATAAGAATGGACGACTTTGGTTCCGCCCTCAGGCTTAGAGATGAGTCAGAGAACAAAGATAGAGACTTGCCAGTCAGGCGCCAGTCAAGGTTAAATTCTGTGGTTATACAACAACATCATGATAACCTCGTTAGCTTCTTTCTGATAGACTCTAAAAGAAATCACTGCAAAACATTTATGATGATTAACTAACATTTCTGTTTTATAATCAGCTTTGAACCATTCTTTTAGTCCAGATAAATTAATTTTCTCAAGAAAGATTTACAAGTATATTACTGTGTTCACAGTAAAATAAAAACAATAATTTACATAAAAATACAATGAAAACATTGTAATCAGATTCTCTGTGATTTTTTATACCATTATAAATCTTTAAGGCACAGTAAGAGAAAAGAAGTGGTTCCACTTTCCTGTGACAGGCATTATCATGATTTAACAAATGCATAAACATTCTTAGTTAAACAACAAATGAATCACGAACAGAAGAGATTGTTCTGTCCATTATCTGATTAAGAGAACTGAGGGGTTCTCTTCCACGGTTAGAATGATCTGTCATGGCCTAAATAGAGTTCAGTTTGTGACAGAGTTCCTGTCCTCTCGTCAGGCCTGTCCGAGGCCTGCTTAGAGGCAGTAAATCTTGTTTCTTCACTCGAGGTGACCCCTACACTAATGTTTAAACTTTTGGCCATAATAAATTTTAGTAGTACAGTGAAAGTACATTTTCACACAGACTGGTTTATTTGTAGTATATTTCAAGATTAAACTAAAAGTATACTTAGAAGATTACTTTCAGTATACGTCTGAGTATACTTCCATAAACTTGTTGTGGGCCAATTTAGTCCTAGAATTATACTTGTTAGTAACTGCCAGAATACTTATATCAGTGTTCATAAAAAGTACACTAAGGGAAATGCACTTTTATATACTTTAGTATACTTAATGGCATGTATTTAAAGTATACTTCTTTTTGGTAAGTTCATAAACTTAGACATTATAACAGTATACTTAAAGTATACTTTTTTATAAACTAAAAAGTCCCAGTTAAGTACGAACGAGTATTAAATCAGTATACTTTCTAGTATACTACAAGTACATGGTGCCTAGTATACTTGATATACTTAAACTTATACTCAAATATACTTATTAAAATTAACTTCAAGTATACTACTTTTTGCTAAGGGTTACACCATTTCTCCAAACTGGTCATTCAAAGAGCTATCTACAACAGGCAACATACTATTTAAACACAAAGTCATGCTCAAAGTATCAAAACCCCCTTTGTAGTGTGGCAGTGGCATGTACCTATTTAGTAAAACAAACAAACAAAAAAAAAAACTATGTAAAAATCAGTGCTTACCTGTTGGTTCCAAAGTCATAGGCTTCACATGTAGAGGTCAGGCCATCTTCAGTGACTCCTCCAGCAACGATAATCTTTCCTTTGTGGAGAACTGCTCCAAACATGGATCTTGGTGTCTTCATGGAAGCAACCTCTTTCCACTCGGACTTCTTGTGGTTGTATGCAAACATCTTATTGGTTGCTTTACTTTTGTCGGTAAGACACAATGATCCAGTTATTAATAAATCAATTTTAACATTATATGATATTTTAATATTACGATCTTACTTTTCGTCAGTTTTCCCTCCAACACAATACACCAAGCTGTTCTCAGAAACCACACAGTGGCCGTGGATTTTTACCGGCAGCTTTTTTGTTTCTGTCCACTTCATTTTTCTATAAGCAAAGAAAGAGAATCTGTTTAAAGCTGCATGGTTTCACTGAGCAGACATTTAACATGCTGAACTTACTCTGTGTTGTAGCACATGACGGTATCATGAGACTCATTGGACTGTAAATCTTTTCCTGCTACAACAAAGATGACGTTCTCAAATTCACCCATGCCAAACAGACACCTGGGTGAAGGCATGGGTGGCAGAGCCATCCATTCAGCAGCAAGACTGTCCAGCTGAAAACAAGATATGTTAAAATAAAAGGGGGGGCAAGCATTCAGTTTGACTTTGAGTTTTTCTACCTGATAGAAGTAACACTGCAGGGGATTTTCTTTTTCCTCTTCATCTACAAACAGCCCTCCCACCACATACAAATTGTTCTTCTTAGATGTGAGGCTGACATGATTTTTGGGGATTTGCTCAGCCATGGCTACCAGAAAACATTCGTTCTCCTGGCCGTCATAGGCCACGGCAGCAGTGTCGTTAATCATGAGAATCATGTTTTTGGCATACATGCCATACCTGCGGTCATCGTTCAGGTAACCCGGAAGCTTGGCCTCCTCTCCCTCAGCATCACCTTGCCCCATTTTCTTCTCAGGTAACTTCCCAGCAAACGCATCCCTGATGACTTTCATCTTTTTGAGAAGCTCAGGATTGGCTTTCATCAGCTCGTCATTTTCCACTTTTTCCTTGAAGTACTTCTCTGGAAGCAGACGGAAACGAACGTACTCGAAAGCTTCTTCCAAGAACTTTGTGCGCTTCTCTTTGTCTTTTTTGATCCACTTCATGAGACACTCGAATACGACCTCTTCTTTTTCAACATTTAAGGCGTCCGCTCCAATGATGGCAAAAAGCTCATGTGGGCCAAGCTCTAAGAACTCGTCGTCTTTGCTGATGGTCTCAAAGCGATCAGCGATATAATCTCTAGCTGACATCGCCAGCCTGGCACAGTCCAGCATCAGTCCTAGTCTGTAGATGGCGAGGCAGCTTTTCCTGGTCACATTCTTCTGCAGATAATTTACACAAATGGTGAAAGCTGAGGGGATCTGGAAGCGATTGGCAACAGACAAAATATCCTGAACGTTATTATCATTGATGTCTATCTCAGCCGAGTACAGATAATTCACAATCAGCTCCATAATGCTAGGATCAAGGTCCTCCAGAACAAGCTCCTTTCTGTCCACCTCTTTGCCATCCTCTGAGAAGAGCTCTCTGAAATATGGACTGCACGCTGCCAGAATGAGCCGATGGCTGGGGATGCTTCTATCTCCAACTTTTAGGATACAATCAATTAACTTATTCTCATTCAGAAGTTGTTTGAGTCCATCCTGGAGCAGGGTGCTCTGAAACAGACGGAGATCTTCTCTCAGGCTTTGGGCATCCATTCTTTTAGGACAGGAAGTGAATGAAAGCGGAGCAGTCGACCACTGGTTGTCCTTACCACTGAAGATGGTGAACTACAGGCAGCCAAGTCAGAGCCCTCTTCAATATAACTGTGGCTCTCTAAATATAGCCAGCCGACCCATCCATGAAGAATTCAGCTTGGCCCAATTGGAGCGCTCGCACAGATGCTATAAAGCAAAAACAACTGTGGAGGCTTGTCACTTCATTATTATCCTATCCACACAAAAATAACTCCTGAACTTTTCATTTAATCTACTCTTGGCTTTCTGTTAGGGAAAAATACGAAGATTTTCATGGGGGAAAAAAATCAAGACACATTTTACAACAGTTTTCTGTATGTCTGACATCTACTACTATTTGTAGTTCAGTGAAGAGATATATTGAGTCACAACTCACAGATAGCAATGACCATGACAATGAAGTGTGAGATTCAGTTTTACTGTGTGAGCCAAATGAAAGGAAGTCGTCCCATAATCATCAGACAGAATCAGGAAACAGCTGCTACAAGAGGAGACAGTTTATCCTCTGTGCCATATTTTAAATACTTGAACATCTTTGTACTTAACACGTGTTCCTTCAGCCTACCTGAGGTGTTTATGTATTATTATTCAAATGAATTAAAYTCCAGCTTTTATTTAGGTCTGTTTTATTCATATTAAGCAACACAATAGTTTATGAACAAACAAGAAGCAACATTTTAAGCAATTCTACTACAATCAATGTTATTTTTTACTTTAAAAGGAAGTACCTATACACAAACTGTACAATTTTAAACTTGATCTATAAATAAATAAACAACTATTAATTTTACAAGCACAAAATGTACAAAGAAATGCTCATTATTTCAGCCCATTACTTCCCACAGCCCTTGAAGAGTAAAGCCATCCTTCGGCTTCTCGATGGCGACGCCAAGCTCCTCTGAGAAAACTGGCTCACGGTCTTGTTGCTGTGACATTCAAATTAATTAATTCATTTTAAACCACTGCATCTTAAAAAACAAATTGGTTCATTTTAAAAAGTGTTACTTACCTTATTGCCATCTGCAAAGTAAGCCTGTTAGAAGCACACATACGCAATAAAACACAATTAATGAAAATAACCAGGATATTCTGCTTGTTATAATAGGGCTATTGTTGCCAATGAGCAACACAAACAGGAGCACTAAGCAACATGGATTCATGTTTGTTCGTTACGCTGTGGAACATTAGCTCACAGCTATTCTGAGAGTCTTGACAGCCTTTGAACTCCCGCAGGAGCGATGAGTGTAAAAAAAAAGGCAGACGGGTTTACTCACAGTGAAAGCATCGGTCTGCTCATCCGGCTCGATTTCCACATCATCAGGAAGCTGTTCAACGGTGAGTTCTTCCAAAGGTTGGGGCTAAAAATGTCAGAACAAACAGTACAATTTAAACATAATCAGTCGAACGAAAAGGTCCACAATGATAAATATAAAAATGTTTATCTGTCTGATTCTGTACGTGTCTACCAACCTTTTCCTCCATTTCATAATCCACTCCAAAGATAGGGTTGGCAGAGTACACTTTGTGCAAGGAATTGATCTCTTTGAGTGCATCTTGAAGCTTTTCTACTGGATCAATCTTAAACCCAAGCACATATCCTCCACTCTAAAAGCACAAGGATAGTGTACATGTGAATATCACAAACACTAGAGGAAAACTAATGATGTGATCAGATAATATGAATATAGTCACCTGTCGTGAACTCTCTATCACCAACGCCAAGCCAAACTTCGAGTCTCGTATTCGAATGGACCACTTTGGGAAAAACAATAATAATTAACACATTACAACTAAAACTGGTACTTTTCATACAGTATGAAATGTTTTTAGTTAACACTTTACTTGAAGGGGTGTTTAAGACTGACATCACACTATCATAAACATGACACGACACCTGTGATGAACATGAAGGAGGCTTCATGAATGTTWATGACTGTTGTCATTCGGTAAATTATGACATTGTTTAAAATGTCTTGGTTCTGACAGCTTGACATTGGTATGATGATGTATATACTGATATGAAAGCATCAAGAGATACTCTTATTGTAATTACAGAGTCATGTGATTGTAGCATACCAAATGATGTCTTGGTTAATGTCAAGTTGTCATAACTAAGACATTTTAAACAATGTCAGTTTTACATTAAATGTGTCATTTGTCATGTTTATGACAGTGTCATGTCAGACTTATGCACACCCCTTCAATAAAGTATTTTTATTTCACATTATAACATTTTTTAACAGAATCAACACAGTAAGACTTAAAATTATTGGGGGAAAAACTGGCAACCCTCACAGTTGACTCAAAAGTAAACCATTACTACTAATTTAGATACACTAATAAAACTTTAAATGAATCAAATGGTATTTTGTTACTTTGAAAACATGAATGAATGATTGTATATTGTCTGACCCTCATCATACTTACAATCTGGAGGTAAGGAATGCTGACATTGAAGCTTTCATTCATATTGGCATGCCAAACAATACGAACATTGGTAATAAAGAAGGTTCCAAGATTTCCCTAAAACAATAGACAGAGGTTCTATTACAAAAAAATATACATTGATTTGAATGAAAATTTAAAACATCTCTGAACAGTGTTTAATCAGATTAATTTTGCTGTCTGTACAGATTTGTCAATCACACTACCATGGCAAAGTAAAGCAAGACTAAAAAATGTCACCTAAACACATTTTTTCCACAACACCATCAGTACCTGATCACTGGATAAATTCCAGACGCCGTTGATTTTATCATACACCTGCTCTTGAGGTAAGAGTCTCAGCTGCTTGTTTTGAATCAGAGAAGCTCGMAGTTTCAGGTCCCGATACATCTTAGAAGTCTCATAAGCCCTGCACCAACACAGAGAACATTTTAATACTTTTAAATCATACAATACGTTCAGTATTTAACATTCCACCAGTGTGGTTTTACCTGTGAACAGCAATCACAGAGGTAAAGAGTCGTGGACTTCCTACAACCAGATTGGTAAAAATGAACTCAAATCTCGTGTTGTTGGACTTGGTTAAAATGTAGAGGGCTTCAGTTTGGCCTCGCACTTTCTACAAGAGAGAAATTATTTCAATAAGCAGTTGTTTTTTTACACTTCCACTTCAACTTTTAAATGTTAAAACTAAAACTGGTGCCATTGTTGTCTTTGTTTTTTAATATTAGGAACTTTTAAAGTGATTTAGGTGTTAAATTATACTCAAAAACTTATTGATACACATGTAAATCATAAGGTTACTTACAGAGTTGGCTGTCCTTGTTGTGATGTTAATAATTGTGTTGTAACCCACAGCTGAAAAAAATAGCAAATCTTTTGTTTAGATTAGGGATGCACAATATATCGGCAYTGACATCGGTATCAGCCAATACAGGTCATTTTTTTAGAATATCGGTATCGGCAATATATGTAAACCGGAGCCAATATTAATGTCCATTATTGATTTTCMATTTTTCAGCTTTGTGTTTCTGTTCTGGTAGGCGAAATGGTTGATCGTGATAGTGATGCTGACGSTGTGCAGCCAGGAATAACTGAAGCAGAGAGCCATGCTAGAGGTCTGGTCAATTATTTACAGTATTGAAAAAAAAAACACAAGTGTGTTTGTGTAATATCGGTAAATATCCGTTATCGGCCATAACGCCAATAATAATATTGGGTATCGATATCGTCTGAAATTTTCAGATCGGTGCATCCCTAGTTTAGATCATATGAAATTTTACTTTAATTATTTTGGCTGGCAAGTAGGGCTACCACGATTAATCAATTAATGGACGACTAATCGATTATTAAAATAATCGATGACTAATTTAATAATCGATTAATCGTTTTCTTTTTTTGTTGTTGTTCTTTACGTTGTTTTTCTCTCCAAACTGCTTTGACATCTTCCACTGCCACATCTGCCTTTCTGTCCTTGACACACATGTACAGTAGTGGTAACTGGGGTAGGCCGTGGACGTCACAACACATTATACAGACAGGCTCTGGTATCATGGCTACCTGACAACAGGCTCAAAAGTGTGGGATCACTTTAAGAAAATGAAGGAGAAACCTGTGCAATATCTGCAGAGCAGAACTTACCTTCCACAGCAGTTATTTTTAGTTAGCATATAGCTAAAATCTAACCATGRTTATATAATAGCAGCTGCATTCTGACGTGATAAGCTGTATGTTTTATATTCAATTAACATATGATCCGATTAGTCGACTAATCGAATAAATAATCGGTGATTAATCGATTATTAAAATAATCGTTYGTGGCAGCCCTACTGGCAAGTACTTCTTCCAAAGTCAGAATCTAATAGTTTATATCATAGTTAAACTTCTGYTTTCAGCATATAATTTGACACGGCCTATATGTTACTAGTAAAAGTTTTTTGATATGATAAATCCTAAATGTACAAAATGAGTTTGATTTTAATGTCCATAGTACAGGTCTCCTGTACCACATCCCAGTTATTTAAGTTTAGATAAAAATATATTTACATGCTAAAGACAGAGCCAAAATTAAATGTTTATGCCCACTCACACAGGTTGACTCTTGGCAGGGATAAACAATGCCAAATGACTCTCAGGTTTGTCACCAAAAGTCGTCCTGCAGAAAAAGACAAACTATTAAAATCCAGCTGAGCAGTCACGCATAAAAAATTGCTCCACATAATAAACACCAAAAAATAACCTCGTTCTCCATTGTTTCCTTTCGTATCTTCGATTGAGTCCAGACAATCTATTAATACCTCTCCTGGACGTGTTTTCATCTGTCTGTGTGTGTATAACAGGGAATATTTTATTTAATTATTGTTGTAGACACAACACATTYGTCTGAAAATGTGTATCAACAAGTTTAAACTAAAAGCAAAAAGAAAACAGCACAGGTAATGAAGCTAACTTTGTTGCGCCAAAGGAAATGTTTGGGCTGTAGCATCATAAGCTACTTACTTAGCTTTATAGAGCTAGGCTATGTTGTAGCTTTAACCAGATTAAAATCATCCCAAACAATAATAATAATAAAAAACCTCACTGTGCGGTTATGTCAAATCTGACGTCTCTGTCCTCCCAGAGAGTATCCAAAGCAGAAGCCATGGCGCCGAGAAATAACTCGTAAACTTTAATAGCCAATCACATCTGCGAGATACTGGATGGGCTAAAACATATAAACCTGCCAAGCGTCGTAATCCCAATGGAAACGGACGGCAAGCCAAAGGGACAAAAAGTATGGATCGTGCAATGCGACTATGGTGGAGGTAAAGTTTTTTTTTTTTTTTTTTTTTTATAAAACCGGTTTTTGCGCTCAGTATGAAATTTTTTCCTCAAGTGCGTTTTGTTAAAAAAAACAAGTTGCTAATGAATTTATGAGTGTATGGGAAATATTTATTTCTAATGAATCGTACAATGTTTATCAATTTCCATAGGCTGCTGCAACCATGATCATGAACATGACACAAATTCAACCATAATTCTACAATGTTTAAATTATTTTTATAGACACGTGTACTTTCCATATAATGCATTAAATAACATTTGTAATGCTCAATTCGTTTCTAGCTTTAAGATTTTATTTTCACCACATAGGGTATTAATATTCTAATAAACCTATAATCACAAAGATTTTAAAATATGACATGAAAGTGGGATTACAGGCATAATTATTTTTTGTTTATTGTCTTCAAAAAAAGTGTTCATAATTTTATTATAAACTAAGTGACAATGACAGAAGATTTAAGGAGTCCATGTTGACTCTGATTAAAAGCAGTACGGCAAAATAGTATGTTAGGACAATAAAAAATAAATCCTTGTCCATGTAATAAAAATAAAAGTCTACATTTATTTTTGTGTTGCCACTATGCACAAACAAATGTAAACAAAAGATATTGATACTGTTTTCAATAAACACACAAGAAATATGTTGTTTATTTACTACAAAAATGTATACAAATTATTCAGATGTACAACAAAAAAATTCTGACTGATCTTCAATGCAATACATCATCTGCTGACCCCTGAAAGCAGCAGTGTTGTGTAAAGTACCTCATAATGATTCTTGAGT